TTAAGTTTAAATTCACAGCGAATTTATTCGACTCGAATCGAATATTGTCCACGAATTTGCCGAATCAGTCGAAATCGAATTTTTGAATACTTCGCTCATCTCTAATTGTAAGCTCTAACGAGCAGGGCCTTCTGATTCCTCCTGTATTGAATTGTTTTGTTACTGTACTGTCTGCCCTCATGTTGTAAAGTGCTGCACAAACTGTTGGCGCTATATAAATCCTCTATAATAATTTAAAATAAATAATAATAATAATGGGTGTATAGTAAATTCTTCCAGTAATGGCTACTGTGGTAACATCTGTCTAAGAAAGGATTTTACCTTAATTTTTAGAGATCTGCAGGAGAGCCGAGGAGGGGTCTGCCAGATGGGGTGGGTTAATGGAAAAATGGAAAGACTTTTTATGTGTTATTATTGTATTTTTTTAAATAAGATATTGATACGGAACATTTCATTTTCAGTACCATCTACCTGGAATGAGCAAAGATGGTAAGCCTTTTAACATTTTTTTTTTTTTATAAAGAATAATTTTTTCTTTATTTCTGTTCTCTAGCTGTTGTTCTTTTTTATCCTGCTTTTTCCCCAGTTCATTAGTCCATTTTTATTAACATTCCTAATCCTAAACCCCAATTCCTAAGTCAATAATCATTAGTGCTGCTCCATTGGCCCTAATCAGCCTGACCAGAGAATCTGTAAAATTATTTTTCTTTTTCCATCTAGATCCACCCCTGAGGAAGACTATTCCACATTTTTATAGCTCTGGGGGTAAAGATCCCTTACCTTAAGGAGACCCTTTCATCACTTAAAAACATTGCAGGTACCACCAATAAAAAAATCAAATATTTTCAAAAACGTAACTTGCCGTAATTTATTTTTCATAAATTATTTATTATTCCCATGCAACGTGGCTTTGAAATTGTAAAGAATTAATTACTCCGAGAGTCATTTCCCTAGCACAGTCCCCTCCCACACTGCTTCTCATAGCCTTCTCCTCTTCTGGGAGTGTCTAATTACTGCCTGTGCTGGCCCAGCATCTCTGTCCCTCCCTTCATCTCCCCACATAAACTTTTATATAGCTTCCAGGGGAGGAGTGAAGAGGAATACCATAAAGTGTCACTTGAGCAACAGCTCTGAGTCTGCTGGGACTGCTGACATCTCATACAAGATGGCAGCAACCAGCAGTGGTTTTGCGCTTTCAGCTGTTTACACAAGGGAGGTTTTTATAGTTAATGATATGCCTAAAATATGTTAAATACACTTCTAATCATATGTATGTTTTTTGTTAAAACGAATGGTCTGGTAGCAGGGTCTCCTTAAAGTCATCTCCCTTTACTTAGGTGACTGTGATAATGACACAGGGCAATGCAGGCACAGACTACGTTACCCAACCAGACGTTTCACAGACCAGGGATAGCTTTGTAGAGCTAACATTTTTTATTATGATATAATAAAAATGTTAAAATGGGCTCAATATTTGAACAAAAGTCACTTTCATTTTTATGGTTACAATTATTTAACTAAATGTGCCTAATGGGTATTTTGTATATGCAGCCCCAAAGAGTGAAGGCTTTGAAGTCCATGAAGGGATCTTCAGCAAGATTTTGCGCGCTAATAAAGGTAATTATTCTAAATTACAGGATTCCTTTCTGCATTATGAGGACGCTAAATCAGGACAAGCCAATAGACAATAACAAATTATAATGAATAAAGTTATGTGTTTCAGGATACTTTAAATCATGTACTGATGGACTAGCCAATAGCGTGTAAGGTGGAATATGGCGCTGTGGTCTTAGGTTACAAACTCTTTATCATTCCTGCAGGATTCTTCTAAATCAGTATTCCCCTTCTAAAAAGACTAATGGATTATTTCTATTTACTTCTACCAATGCGGTGACACTTGCGAAATAAAGAGGCTGTTCACTTTGCAAAGGAAGTAGCACTTTGCATGGGAAATTAGTTGAAAATCAGCATCAATATTTCTAGTAAAACTGTATATCCTTTCTTTTACAATTTCTAGTTCTGCATTTACAACGAAAGCTGAACTCCAGGCAGATATCCATATGGAAGAAAAATATACCGGTATTTAAAATATATTTAAAATATATTCTTCCCAAATATATTGCCATATATTTGAAATGCTACAATTTTGTCCAGATTATATATATATATATATATATATACTATATATATATTGCGTGTTGAAATGCGTTTTTATTACAAAATATATGAACAGCATTTTTAAAAATACATTTCAAATATACTGTATGTCTTTAAAAATACAAATCTACATTTTTGGAATGCATTTACAAATATATGTAAAAATATAAGTTAAAATCACTTTTTTATTTGTTAAAAAAAATCTGAAGACTATATTTTTAAAAATATATATTTTTTAAAATATAGTCTTCAGTTTTTTTTTACATATAAAAAAGTAATTTTAACATATAGTTGTAAATGCATCCAAAAATGTAGATTTGTATTTTTAAAGACATACGGTATATTTGAAATGTATTTTTAAAAATATTTTTCATATATTTTGTAATAATGCACTTCAACATGCAGTATGTGTGTATGTATATATATATATATATATATATATATATATATATATATTGAATACGGCCAAAATTGTAGCATTTCAAATATATGGCAATATATTTGAGAAGAATATTTTTAAAATATAATTCAAATATATTTTTCTTCCATGTGGATAATAAAATCATTATTTTATTTATTTCAGGTACTTATATAGCGCCATCAATTTACACAGTACTTTACATATATATTGTACATTCACATAAGTCCCTAACTCTCAAGCAGTGTACAATCTAAGGTCCCTAACTTACATTCATATACTAGGGTCAATTTGGAAAGGATCCAATTAACCTACCAGCATGTCTTTGGAGGGTCGGAGGAAACCAGAGTACCTGGAGAAAACTCATGCAGGCACAGGGAGAACATGCAAACTCCAGGCAGGAGGTGCTGTGGCTAGGATTTGAATCAACGACCTGAGTACTGCCAGGTGGAAGTGCTAACCATTTAGCCACAGCTCTGTAATTCCTTACTCAATTTTAGTTTTAATTTTTTTAAATGAAAATTATGTAAGTACCCTAATTGGACTTAGAATCAGCCTCTTGCAGTACTTATACAGTAGAGCTCAGACTGGGGGTGGGAGAAGTAGCACAAGGAGTAGGTTAGCTGTGCTGTAGTGCATGGTCCATTGTAATAGAAGGAGAGAGCAGAGTGCCAGAGAGATGTTCAGTCTTATACAGGGGTGGGCTGACAACTCATGGGGCCCCCGGGCAATAGGGGATCATGGGGCCCCTGTGTCCTTGCCCAAACTCAAAAAAGCCTATGAAAAAGGTACCAGGGGCATCTCATGGGGCCCCCTACTGACCCCGGGCCCTCGGGCAGTGCCCGAGTTTCCAAATGGTCAGTCCGCCCCTGGTCCTATAAGCGTTACTTAACTGCAGCAGAGGAAAATCAGGTCTTCTCCCCGGCCAAACAGGGCTGTGCTGTGTCATAGAACTGAGTAAAGTCGGAGATGTAAGTCAGCCCATTCATCAACCCTTAATAAAGCCTGGTGTCTTTGCAAGTTAAAGGAGTAGATCGATTTCATCCTTGTGCATTGTAGATGCACAGAGTACATTTACTTATAATGCAGTATATCCAAGGCGTTTTGATCATTCCATCTGGTAAGCACTTTTTATTGCCATATTACAGTCATTAATTATATGCCAATCTAAGTTGGGATATCTCCCCCCTTTTTGGGCGTCACTCGCAGGATTCTGCCCCCTTTCTCCTTTTTTTTTTTTTTGCACAAAGGGGAGTGGCTGGGGTCTCATTATTACTTGGTCTCATATATAAGAACCATCCTTATGCATTGTGTTTTATTGCTCTGAGGAAGGGAGTTCGACTCCCGAAACACGTTAACACTTTTACCCGAGGAACTCTGGAAATGACTGGTATCTTTGACTCCTTGTCTCTGTTTTTATGACCTTTTTGGTTTGTGAGTAGGCATTTGTAATTTTATAATGCATTTCTTATTATCACGGTAATGCACGAGGACAGTGTTTTGCTCTTTTCTGTGAGCTAAGTGAAAAAAGATTCCTCCAGATGGACAAATCTCCCTCTGTGCCTATTATTTTCCAACAGCTCCATCTCCGCCACCCCCCTCTGCCAATCCCTCCACTGGCTTCCGATTGCGCAACGGATCAAATTCAAAATCCTAACACTGACATACAAAGCCATCCACCATACTGCCCCGAACTACATCACCGACCTAATATCCAAGTACCACCCAGCACACACACACACTCCGCTCCTCACAAGACCTCCTTCTCTCTAGTTCCCTGGTCTCCTCCTCCCATGCCCGCCTCCAGGACTTCTCCAGGGTGTCACCCATCCTTTGGAACTCCCTGCCCCAACCCATCAGATTATCACCTACTCTCCTCTCCTTTAGGCGCACACTGAAAACCCATCTCTTCAGGGAAGCCTACCCCACCCCCTGCTAACCTGCCGACCTCCTCCACCCTTCCTACCACCCCATCCCCCACAGCTATCTCCTCCTGTACCACCATCCCCTCCCTCCTAGATTGTAAGCTCGAAAGAGCAGGGCCCTCAATCCCCTCATGTTTTGCATTGTATTGGTATTGTTCTGTCACATGTTCTGTCCCCCTTTGTATTGTACAGCGCTGAGCAAACCATTGGCGCTTTATTAATACTGTATAATAATAATAATAATTGTGTTCTGTTGGACACCCCAACATTGTATTGTACTGCATCTGATTGGGCGCAGCCGCTGTTAGTTCTAAAATTTTCTGTCTGGATCTTTCAAATTTTCAATGAAAGGATGTCGAGTTGGAAGGGGCCAGCACAACCACCCTCATTGTACACTTCAGCCAGTTCACAGTGTATGGGCAGGTAAAATCTAAAACATTTTAGTGCTTTAACTGGAACCAATTTCTGTATTTTCAGATAGCAAAACTCCCCTGTATGGAGGTGACATTCTGGTACAGAATGACCGCAGTGCCTTGACCTGTACTTCTTGCCTTTGGCCTAAAAATGATGATGGCATTGTTCCTATTCCCTACGTCATAGATTCCAGATACAGTGAGTTCCCTCTTCATTCTCTTGTGCTGAAATAGTCATTGCTATTTGTTATTTGTAGAAACCCAACCTTCTATCTCTGTTTTCCAGGTCCCAATGACCTGAATGTGATTACACTCGCCATGACAGAGTTTGACTCATTGACTTGTGTGAGGTTTCTGCCTCTTACAACAGAAGAAGATTATGTCAACATTACACCTGATAATGGGTAAGGATGTCCTCTCTATTGTCCAACACAGTTCTATAGATAAAGTGAAACAGTAGAAAGAATCTAGAACATTAACACCTTAGACTTTACTGTACCTATGTGACATTACTACATTACTACTCTTTTTTATTTCCTAAAAAAAATATAGAATTTCTCTGTACATTTGCAAATATATAGTAAAATCACAAGCCAACCTCAAGGTGCTTCTTGGTTGTCTCCTTTTTCTTCGTACCTAGCAGAAAAAGCACAAGGACATAGGATTTTTATCCCAGCACTGCTTAAGCCCCGTACACATGGGCTGAATATTGGGTGGTATTGGCCAGTTCAACAGCATTCAGCCTGTGTGTATGCAGCCGGTCTCTTCTGTCAAAGAGACGTAACCAAAAAAGGTTTGCCGATCGGCTTCTGATCAGCCTGTGGCCGAGAGAGCTGACCGGTGTGTTCTGGTGTGTTCTGGTGGGGGGCAGTCCCCCTTTCAGAACACAATAGCACAGCAGGGGTGATCGCTGTACTAAACACCACTTGTGTTGAACAAAGAAAAACTGATAGTGTGTATGGTACATAAATACATTGAGTAGATAGTAGAAGAATGGTAAGGACTGAGAGCGAGTGCAGCTTAGGATTCAAGCCTAAAGGATTCCACTTAAAAAAAAATCCATATTTACAGTCATATTAAAACCAAATAATTCTGTGCAAAAGTGGGAAGTGGATCCATTACTTGGAACCAACACAATGACACTTAGCTCCCAAACACCATGCCTCTTACTAGACTTGGGCACATGCAAAGGGATACACCTGCCGTTATGAGTTAGAAACAGGAGCGGACTGACCATTTGGAAACTTGGGTACTGTCTGAAGGCACGTGGTCAGTAGGGGCTCCATGAGATGCCCCTGGTACCTTTTTCATAGGCTTTTTTGAGTTTGGACAAGGACACAGGGGGCCCATGATCCCCTATTGCCCAGGGGCCCCATGAGTTGTCAGTCTGCCCCTGGTTAGAAAGTTCAAAGGTTTAGCTCAAACACATATTGATTGTTTTCTTTCTGTAGCTCGTATTCAGTATTGTCTATGGCTCTTAAATTACATTAAAGTGTAACTCTTTGGAACTGTATATTTACTATTTCTAGCTGTTACTCATTTCTTGGAAGAACCGGTGGAAGCCAGACAGTTTCATTGGGTGGTGGCTGCGTCTATATGGGGATTATACAACATGAACTAGAACACGTCCTGGGCTTCCACCATGAACACGCCAGGAGTGATCGTGACAATTATATTGACATCAATTACCAGTATATCACTGAAGGTAATGGGAACATTTACACAAAGAGAATTTAGCCATGTTTTCAAAAAAGAGACACTATCACAGCATTTGTCTTGTTACAGGATACCAGGGTAATTTTGCTAAAGCGGACACCAATAACCTGGGCACTCCATATGACTACGGTTCAGTGATGCATTATAGTGCGTAAGTCATGACTTTTGTGTTAGATGGCAAATTACCCATAAATGATAACGTGTTTTAATGGTAATATGTTGATCCTATCTCCTTTCAACATTTAACAGCTATGCATTCAGCAACACTGCAAACCAACCCACAATTGTCCCCAAACCTGACCCCAATGTGCCTATTGGACAGAGATTTGGATTGAATGTCTTAGATGTCGTTAAAATTAACCAACTTTATCAATGCAGTAAGTTTCTGTACATTCCAATTTTATGAGTTTGAAACATTAGAAATTATACTTTTTTATTAACTGCATTTTAAGATAATTGTTACAGTTTTTAAAAGGAAAATGTTTTGACAAAAAGAGCAAAATGTGCTCAACTATGGGTGAACACATAATTACATAGTTACAAGGTTAGTGCGGTTGAAAAAAGACACAAATCCATCTAGTTCAACCAATAAAAACTAAAGAAAAAATACAATCCTACTGTATATACACAATCCTATACCCACAGCTGATCCAGAGGAAGGCAAAAAAAAAAATCAGCAAAGCACGATCCAATTTGCTCCTGCAGGGAAAAATAATTCCTTCCTGGAAAAAATTCTCTGGATCAGATTTACCTACAAATGTTAGTATCTAGTTATATTATGTGCATTTAGGAAAGAATACAGGCATTTTTAAAGTAATCTACCAAGCTGGCCAGAACCAACTCTTGTGGTAGTCTATTGCACATTTCCACAGCTCTTACTGTGAAGAAACCTTTCTGTATTTGGAGATTAAATCTCTTTTCCTCAAAAGTGAATAACTCATCACCGAGTTCACTATATGGACCACTGATGTATTTATACATGAAGATCATATCCCCCCTTATGTATTATACATGGAGATCATATCCCCCCTTATGTATTATACATGGAGATCATATCCCCCCTTATGTATTATACATGGAGATCATATCCCCCCTTATTTATTATACATGGAGATCATATCCCCCCTTATGTATTATACATGGAGATCATATCCCCCCTTATGTATTATACATGGAGATCATATCCCCCCCTTATGTATTATACATGGAGATCATATCCCCCCTTATGTATTATACATGGTGATCATATCCCCCCTTATGTATTATACATGGAGATCATACCCCCCTTATGTATTATACATGGAGATCATATCCCCCTTATGTATTATACATGGAGATCATATCCCCCTTATGTATTATGCATGGAGATCATATCCCCCTTATGTATTATACATGTTGATCATATCCCCCCTTATGTATTATACATGGAGATCATATCCCCCCTTATGTATTATACATGGAGATCATATCCCCCCCTTATGTATTATACATGGAGATCATATCCCCCCTTATGTATTATACATGGTGATCATATCCCCCCTTATGTATTATACATGGAGATCATACCCCCCTTATGTATTATACATGGAGATCATATCCCCCTTATGTATTATACATGGAGATCATATCCCCCTTATGTATTATGCATGGAGATCATATTCCCCTTATGTATTATACATGTTGATCATATCCCCCTTATGTATTATACATGGAGATCATATCCCCCTTATGTATTATACATGGAGATCATATCCCCCTCATGTATTATACATGGAGATCATATCCCCCCTTATGTATTATACATGTTGATCATATCCCCCCTTATGTATTATACATGGAGCTCATATCCCCCTTATGTATTATACATGTTGATCATATCCCCCCTTCTGTATTATACATGGAGATCATATCCCCCCTTATGTATTATACATGGAGATCATATCCCCCTTATGTATTATACATGGAGATCATATCCCCCCTTATGTATTATACATGTTGATCATATCCCCCCTTATGTATTATACATGGAGATCATATCCCCCTTATGTATTATACATGGAGATCATATCCCCCCTATGCATTATACATGGAGATCATATCCCCCCTTAATCTCCTCTTCTCAAGAGAGAATAAATTCAGTTCCTCTAATCTTTCCTCATAGCTGATCTCCTCCATGCCTCATATCAGTTTGGTTGTCCTTCTCTTAATTTTCTCCAGTTCTGAAATATCCTTTTTGTGAATTGGTGCCCAAAACTGAACTGCATATTCCAGATGAGGTCTTACTAATGATTTGTACTCGGGGAATTGATATCTCTCTCTCTGGAGTATCCTTTCTTAATACAAGAGAGGATTTTGCTCGCTTTGAAAATGGCAGCTTGGCATTGCATGCCATTATTAAACTTATGATCTACTAGACCACCCAGATACTTCTCCACCATTAATTCTCCCAGTTGTACCCCCCTAGTATGTATGATGCATGCATATTCTTAGCCCCCAAGTGCATTACTTTACCTTTATAAACATTAAACCTCATTTGCCACAGAGTTGCCCAATTAAACAGTGCATTGAGGTTGGCTTGTAAGTTAGAGACATCCTGTCAGGCTGTTTTTCCACTGCACAGCTTGGTGTCATCTGAGAAGACTGAAATGGGATTTTCAATCTCAGACCCTATATCGCTTATAAGTATATTAAAAAGTAAGGGTCCCAACACTGAACCTTGGGGTACACCACTGACAACCCTAGACCATTCAGAGTATGAATCATTAACCACTACTCTATGAATACAATCCTTTAGCCCATTTTCTATTCAGTTACATACAGATTTTTCCAAGCCTGTAGACCTTACCTTGTACATTAGTCATATGTGAGGAACTGCGTCAAAGGATTTTGCAAAGTCCAAGTCCATAGCCACTCCTTTGTCTAAAGTTTTGCTCACTGCCTCATAAAAGAAATCAGATTTGTTTGGCAACTTCTGTCTTTCATGAATCCATGTTGTCTGTTACTTAAAATATTTTTTTCCAGCAAGAAACTCATCTATGTGGTCTTTAAGTAAACTCTCCAGTATCTTCCCAGCTATAGAAGTTAAAATAACAGGTCTGTAATTAATTGGTAAAGATTTTGACCCCTTTTTAAATATTGGCACCACAAGAATCCAGTGGTACTATGCTAATCATTAAAGAGTCCCTAAAAATTAGAAACAATGGCTTTGAAATGACAGAACTCAATTCTTTTAGGACCTGTGGGTGTATTCACCTTTATTCTGTCTAAATATTTCTGGACCATATCAATTTTGAGCCATTGTGGCTCATGAAGTGCTGTGTCAATATCATCCCAATTGTGGTCAAGAGTTCCCCCATGCTCCTTTGTATACACAGAGCTGAAGAAGGTTTTTAATAAATTTGCCTTCTTTTTGTCCCCAGTCACCCACTCTGGATTACTTTGTAAAGGGCCTACATGCTCAGACCTGACCTTTTTACTATTAATAAATTTTAAGAATTTTTGGGGGTTTGTCCTACTATCTTTTGCAATCTGTAGTTTGTTTTGAAAATTTGCAGCCCTGATTTTCTTTTTACATATTTTGTTATATTCCTTGTAACAAATTATATATTTACTTCATTTTTATAGTTTTTCTTATTATTTTTAACTTTTTTAATGTTGTCCGTGAGCCAAATAGGTTTTATTTTTAGCCTTTAAAACTTATTGCCCATGGGAATATATTTTGCAGTGTGTTCACATGCAGTCTTTTTGAAGAATTCCCATTTCTGTTCTGTGTTCATTGATTCCAATATTCCCTCCCAGTCTAAGGCTTGGAAAGCAGCCCTCATCCTTTGAAACTTTGCTCTCTTAAAGTTGAATGTTATTATCTTTCCGATACGTGCTTGTTGTTTACAGCTAACATTAAATGAGATCATCTTATAGTCACTGCTATCCAAATGTTCTCTTATATGAACATTAGTAAGAGGCTCTGCATGGTTTGAGATTACCAAGTCCAGCAGAACTTCATTCCTAGTTGGGGCCTCTATGAACCGTACCATAAAATTGCCTTGTAATAGGTTTATACATTTTTGACCTTTAACTGTTCCTGCAATGCCGTTACTCCAGTCAATTTCCGAGTAGTTAAAATCCCCCAATATTATCACTGTCCCAGCTCTTGCAGCCCTTTTGATCTGTGCAAGGAGCTGAGTGTTCACCTCCTCATTAACACCAGGAGGCCTATTACAAACTCCAATGCAGGGGCGGACTGACCATTTGGAAACCCGGGCACTGCCCGAGGGCCTGGGGTCAGTAGGGGGCCCCATGAGATGCCCCTGGTACCTTTTTCATAGGCTTTTTCGAGTTTGGGCAAGGACACAGGGGCCCCATGATCCCCTATTGCCCGGGGGCCCCATGAGTTGTCAGTCCGCCCCTGCTCCAATGATTACCTTTGTAGTACACAAACCTATTTGCAGTTCCACCAATAATGCTTCAGCCTTATCACACTCTCCATCAACTAGGTCCTCTTTCACACTCACTTGGAGATCACTTTTCACATAGAGACAGACACCGCCACCTTTCCATTTTACCATCTCTCAGAAAGAGAACACAGAATATTAATAACCCAGTTAGGTGAAGAATGAAGCCAAGATTCAGCAATACTAATTTGATTGTAGTTCTCTTTGTGCACCAAAGCTTCCAACCCACTTACTTTGCTTGGCAGACTTCTGGCATTGGTGAACAATCACTTTACATCATTGTCACATTTTGCACACACATATTGCATACATTTTATTTATTCCAAAGAGTACCATTTCTAAGGGTTATTTGTAACATGGGAACTACTTATTACCTGCCATAGCCCTCTCCCCACATTCCCCATTCCATCCACCAATAGGGACAGAACTCTGAATCCTATCTGACCTGTCTGCCCTATTATAATCGAATTCCCCCTCCCTCCTTGATCCTAGTTTAAATACTCTTCAGCCTTACCATAAACCTCTCCCCCAGCACAGCAGACCCCCTTCCATTTAGGTGCAAACCATCTCTAGCATATAGGTTGCACCCCAATGAAAAGTCAGCCCAGTGTTCTAGGAACCAAAATCCTTCCCTCTTACACCAAGTCTTTAGCCATGCATTCAGTTCTGTAATCTCTCCCTGTCTTTCCTGTGTTGCACATGGCACAAGCAATATTTCAGAGAATATCACCTTGTAGGTACTTTCCTTCAACGTCTTTAAATCAGTTCTTTAAATTGATTCTTATGGAGCCTCCACATTCCAGGTATTCTGTCATTGGTTCCAGCATGGATCAAGACAGCTGGGTCACGCCCAGCCCCTCCTAGTAATTTATCAACCCAGTCCATCACATACTGAACCCTGGCACCAGGGAGTCAGCAAACCATTTGGATGAAGCGATCCTGGCAACAAATGATTCTATCAGTATTTCTGATAATAGAGTCTCCAATTACCACCAACTGTCTAGGCCTTCCTGCGCTACTCTCACCACCTGTACTAGATGTGCTGCTGTTAGGAATAAGAGCAACATCCGGGGCTGCCTCTTCTGAGCTTGCCACCCCGACATCTTCACCCAACATGGCAAATCTGTTAGGGTGCTCAAAGCCAGGGCTGGCCTTCCTTTTCTGTGAGCCCTTACCACTCCCTCTTTCTACAGTAACCCATCTTCCTACCTGAAAGTCCTGACTTACCCCTCCTCATACAATAAATAATGTACACATATGCGGTATCCCCATCCATCTCAAATTTGTTTTAGGTTATTTATTGGTGGTGGGTCATGGTAATGATAAGAAAGATACGGCTACATTTAAACTAAAATGTAAGGGCTACAAAGTAGCCAGTTTACTTTGAAAAAAAAAAATCAAGAGATTTCCATTCACATTTACCACCAAATGAAAGCTCAATATGGCCTGAACAAAACAAGTTATAATTCACCTGGATACAAAAAATAGTTTCAAAGATTTTAAAAGTTTTAGTAACACATGCTAAAATTGTAAAACTACATTCAGGCATTAATGATTGCTTTTATCTTCATCATAAAGGGGATAAACTCAAGGTTCATTTGATTTTAAGTTCAAAATTCCAGCAGTTATAATCTAAGAGAAGATAAATACCCCCTCCCGTTTCCCACAAATACATTATTGATATTACTATTAGTCTATTCCTGCTGTAACTACATATTTATGCCTGTTTTTTACTTCTCAGGTGTCTGCTCTACTTTGCTTAATAATAATACAGGAATTTTCACTTCTGCCAACTATCCCTTTGCTTATCCTGATGATGCTGACTGCGTTTGGTTGATCAGGGCTCCATCAGGGCAGGTAAGGAAACAAATGTTTATATGTAGATATGCAAAATGTGACCTACAATGTCTAGCAACCTAGCTGTGAAAATCAATTGCCATCTAAAGATTTTTGTTTTGTAGACCACCCAAATTTTACATTTATAAAAACAAATGAGAATTGACTAATGTAGAGCCAAGGAATAGGTCCAAATACTCCATAATTTAACATCAATCTTTTGTACATTGAAATAAATAAAACACAACAGCACTTTGTTTTGTCAAATTTTGACGTGGTAAAACACTTTTAGAGATGGATTAAAAAAGGGGAGCCAGAGTGGTGGTTTGGCTTTATGGCTGAGACAGAGATATGGAGTAGACCTTTTAAGATGTTAATGCCTCTGAAACTCATACTCTGCTTCAACTACCTATTTCTCCATATGTTGGATTATTATTTATCTTCATTATAGCCCACTTTATAGTCTTCAAAGGGAGCCTATGTTGGCAGCTCTGATGTGTTAAATTTCTTTAACCCCACATCTGGTAGTGAGAGGGTTGTAGGGATGCAAGCTTTAGCAGGAACAATATGGGTCTTGGACTATTTGCAGTTCAGGTTCTTTACCAATTATAACAGTATTGCAATATCCATCAAAGGTTTCTTTGACTTTATTCAATATAGCACTAAAATAAAGACTTCTGTTAAAAATTTCTTCCCCCAAATGTGTCTTGTTTGAGCTTATTTGTCTCATTGAAGAAACTACAGCTAACAAATCAGTAGGGAGCAGAAGAGCTCTGTCAACTGGAAAATCAATGGAAAACATGTACATGTTTCAAGAGACATCTTAGCTAGAAATATCTATAACTATGATATAGTTTCACAGAAAATAGAATCCTACATGCTCAATTTTTTTTTTCTGAAGGACCGTGCAAGCATTAATTGAGTACCTGATTGCATTTATTGCACCAACATAAAAACCCAGTTTGCATTTACCTATATGTAATTTGTGTGTTTACTGTAGATAATACAATTTCTTTGTGTCACTTTTTAGGCTTCACTAAATTTCAGTAGCTTTAATATCCAGTCCTCTCCTAAGTGTGAATCTGACTTCATGAAGATCTATGATGGTCCCTCTAAGGACTCCCCTGTGTTGCTGGATAAAATGTGCGGCAGTAAAGCCATCCCTCCAGTCATCGCTTCCACAAGCTATATGCTGGTCGAGTTTTTCAGTGACGGGGCTGTGGCCGGAGAGGGCTTCCAAGCTACATATAGCTCAGGTATGCTGATTTATTTTAATGATAAAAAAAAGTGTTCAGAGAAAGTCAATGAAGAATCATAGATGCAGAGCCGAGGAGGGACCATTGACACAACAGTCTGATGTCCTCTCACTTCTGTTTGCAACTTTTGAGTTAATCCATAAAATCTCTTAGTATATGCAATCAGAATGAACCAGGCAGTCAGGCCCTCGCTCTATAAAGTTGTTGGTAGATTGTTCAGTGTGTATGTCGGTCAACCTCTATGGCTTATTTTGGATCACATGCTGTAAAAATACATCACTCTTTCTGTATATCCCTACTCTCTGCTTGCAAATCCCCATGGACTTCTATGTGGTTGACAATGTCATTCAAAATTCTCCAAGGAAGGGTGCAGGGACCAGAATTCCTTTCCCCAGCACTGTGCATGTTTTACTTAGGGCAGATTGGAATAATTTCAAAAATATACCCTGGCAGCCAGTGCTAATCTGTGCTGTCCAATGTCCTGGTATGTGGACGAGCTCTCAGCATGTTAATGTACAAGGCTTGACTGCTTGGAGGAAGCCTGTGGGAGGGAGAAACAAGGTAAGCTTTTCAACCTATTTATCACTTTCTAGACTAAAGAAGCATTTAACTCAAGCAGTGCAGTTGAGGAGAGCAAGATGGATACATTTAACAGCAGCCTGGAATGGGGCTCTGAAGTGAACCCCAGTTAGGCAGCCCACTCACCGCCACTACCATTACTTACCATCACCACACTCCTATTTTCTCACTGGTGCTTTTTGAAACACTTTTGGGTAAGGCAGAACATGTGATTCTCTAAACGTCATGCCCCGATGTAGAATTTGGTGCCTGAGTAGCTCTTTCGTAAGACTAACCTGCAACTCTGAAAGGGAGGATGAACTATGTATATACAGTTAATATACATAAATATAAAATGATCTCATATACTATTAACAATCTCCTTACTGTATTGACTGTATCTATATTCTCACAGTTCAGTGTGGAGGAACCTTCTTTAACTCTCAAGGCAGCTTTACATCTCCGGGCTACCCAGGGAAATACAATTACAACATGAACTGTAACTACACCATCACAGCTCCTGTTGGATATAAGGTAAAACAAGATACCTTAAAGCAGAACTCCAGCTATTTTATATATATATATATGGGGCTGTGCCCCCACTGCATGGATCAGCTGCTTATTTTTTTCTAGGGATGAGGACTAAGCTCATAAGCTCATACTCACCTGACCCGCCGATCCTACAGATCTGAATGTACAACCCCCTTTAAATTCACCAGCATTCACCAGGGTCTACCTGAATGAATAGAAACCGAATATATTGTTTAGAGCAGGGGTGTCAAACTGGCGGCCCTCCAGCTGTTGTGAAACTACTATTCCCATCATGCCTCTGCTTTTGGGAGTCATGTTTGTAACTGTCAATAATGCAATGCCTCATGGGACTTGTAGTTTGGCAACAGCTGGAGGGCCGAAAGTTTGACACCCGTGGTTTAGAGCTTTACACTACATAGCTGTTGACAAATCTAAAGTAGATTGCTCCAAAACTATCTACCATCAAGACTTCCTGGATCATTTCCCAGTGATGACAGGCAATGTTGGTGGTATTTTGTGAAACTGGTTGAAAATTGGTGGCATGAGCTTTGTAAGATGTTTATCAAGGTTTACATGACTTTGCAGCCCTGGGCTAATTCCTGCCATCCTGATTGAGAGTAACAGGACCACGGGGGAGAGGAAGGGAGGGTGCTGATCAGTTTCTTGAGTCTATTGTAGAGAGATGAATGACAAGGAAAGCAGCCAGTAATGTAGGAGGAGAACAGAAGATCTTCCAGCTCTGGATGTTTTATTCCTTGTCTGGTAGTTGTAGATTGGTGACCACTACACCGCAGGATAGAAACAGGACTTCATCTTTCCAACAAGATTCCTAAGCCCTGCCTTATATGTGTAGTATCATCCTTAATATCAAATAATATTTCAGTTAAACTGTAACCAGGGGTGGACTGACAACTCATGGGGCCCCCGGGCAATAGGGGATCAAGGGGCCCCTGTGTCCTTGCCCAAACTCAAAAAAGCCCATGAAAAAGGTACCCGGGGCATCTCATGGGGCCCCCAACTGACCCCGGGCCCTCGGGCAGTGCCCGAGTTTCCAAATGGTCAGTCCGCCCCTGCATTGGAGTTTGTAATAGGCCTCCTGGTGTTAATGAGGAGGTGAACACTCAGCTCCTTGCACAGATCAAAAGGGCTGCAAGAGCTGGGACAGTGATAATATTGGGGGATTTTAACTACTCGGAAATTGACTGGAGTAACGGCATTGCAGGAACAGTTAAAGGTCAAAAATGTATAAACCTATTACAAGGCAATTTTATGGTCAAGGAGTTATAAGCAACAATATACTCACTCCCTTTTATGCCATGTAAAATGACGTTTTTGTTTATTGTATGAGCACATCACTGTCGTATTAGTCATAATTTTCTTTCTTTCTTCTTTTTCCAGATTGCTCTGACCATAAGTGACTTCCATTTAGAAATGAGCACACTCTGTAAATTCGACTATGTAAAACTCTTCATGGATGGTGAACAAAAGGGTCCATTCTGTGGTGATCTCTGCAGCTCTGTGTTTTACTCCAAAGGCAATTCTATGGTTCTCGTATTCCACAGTGACAATTCTATCCAGGCGAAGGGCTTCCAAGTCTCCTACACCTTCAGTGAGTAGCTCAGTTCTATCTGCTTATACCTAATATCAGCAATGGAAGTTATAAAATAATAGAAGTCTCATTTAAAAAAAAAAAAAAATTTACCTTGAGTTATATTGCCTTCAGGGTTTTACACATATATACCTACATATGATAAGCTTACTGTAAATAATAGTATTAGTATATGCTACCATTTTAGAAATATTGTATGTTTTAATAGCTTATAGTTACGTGTACATAAGGGGCAGCCATGTTTGCTCATCACAAATATAGGTTGTACTTTCAGCTTTCCTATGCTACACAGTCATTGTGCTTCACTGCTCCTCTCTGATGCTGCAGGTCTATGGTCAGACCTGACTACATGAACACAACTGACTGTTTATAAGGTTACCGGCACGTTTACTTATTTATTATGGTCAGGAAGGATCACAAAATAATAAAATAACATTTTTTATTTCTTTTAACCAGATTAATGAAAAAAACATATTGCGTAAAAATTGTAATATTGCTGTGGTGTAAATACAGATTTTAATAGCAGGATCTCAGGTTAATCACACAGCTGAATGATCTTCAATTACAAGTAACAAATACAGAACTGGTGCTAGGCTTTTCTATTAGACAACCCAGCAAGCACTACACACACAGAAAATAAGAAACATCATGTAGTATATTAAATGTTAAAATGTAACATAAAGATTTCATACAACTAAAAAAAAAACAATATAAAAGAAACTAAATTACAGTTGACCAAAACCCACTAACCCCTTTAAGTAGACATGATATTCATATGACCTTTAGTGCAATTGAAATCTGTTATTGAAATACAGCATGTAGAAATAAAGACCAACGAGCAAGAAAAGGTAACACAATGAGCATAAATTCATAATTCTACCCTTTATTATGCTAAATAAATGCAAAAAAGAATGTATGAGCAGGTATTTGTTGAGTATGTACCACGGATACTGGATGTATAAATCCATGTACATATATTTCTGTTTTTTTTTTTTTTATAGATCAATGAGAAAGGGTTAAAAAAAAAGTTCTAGGTATTATTTAACCATTTGCCGCCCGCCCTATGGCCGAATGGTGGCCGGAAAATGTCATCAGTGTTCCGGGTGGACGCCATATGGCGTCCTCCCGCACATGCATAGATTGCGCTCCTCCAGAGCCGCGCAGCGGCGCGATCTGTCACCGGCCGTGTACCTCGGACACGGCCGGTGACAGATCTGAGTATTGGCCCCGTTGCCAGTGCCATGTGACCTGCTGTGATCAATCACAGCAGGTCACATGACAGTTGTATACAATGGATGGCTTCATTCATGCCATCCATTGTATACTAGTGTCTAGCTGTGAATGGTCACAGCTAATCACATGCACATGTCATGTGATTAGCTGTGGCCAAAACACAGCTAAGCACAAAAAAAAAAAAAAAAAAAAAACCCTGAATGAATCGATGTCATTCAGGTAAATGCTTGCTTATAGCAAAGTAATTCTTTGCTATAAGCAAATTGTGTAAAAAAAAATAAATAAAAAAATACTGATCACTTCCCCAAAGTAGTACAATGTTACTATGGTAACATTGTACTACTTTGGTCATAGTGAAATGTGAAAAGAAAATCTTAAAAAAAAAAATGTAATAAAAAGTAATAAAAAAATAAAAAAAATATATATAAATATTTATTTTTCATACTGTTACCAGTCAGTGTCCCTGATCACCGCCATGCCAGTTATATGATGACGCTGTACTGCACTGGTGACAATATGTAAAAAAAAATAGTGAAACTAAGTTTTTAAATTTTTTAATTTTCCGAAAAAAATTATGACAAAAAAAATACAACTTCAAAAAACTTGCGATGCCTCTTATGAAGTACGTCGGACTGTCTACTTTGCAAAAAGTGGTCATTTGGGGGATATCTGTACTATTCTGACATTCTTGTACCTCAAGAAATTAGATTGGCTGTCAGTACTTCAGGATTGATCAATTTTCAGATCTATACCATAGTTTGTGAACTCTATAACTTTCCTACAAACTAAAAAATACATCCTAATTTGGGTTATTTTCACCAAAGACATGTAGCAGAATACATCTCGGCCTAAATTTATGAAGAACAATTATTTATTTGCAAACTTTTATAACAGAAACAAAGAAAAACGTGTTTTTTTTTTCCAAATTTTTGGTCTTTTTTTGTTAATTTAGCAAAAAATAAAAACCCCAGCGGTGATTAAATACCACCAAAAAAAAGCTCTAGTTGTGTGAAGAAAATGATAAAATTTTAGTTTGGGCACAATGTTGTATGACCGCGCAATTGTCATTCAAAGTGTGAGAGCGCTGAAACCTGAAAAATGACCTGGGCAGGAAGGTGTAAAATTGAATTGGTTAAATATGGATTTAATAATTGCTGACATTGACCTCTCTTTGATTACAGTTATATAGAAGAGCAACAGATGGCACAAAGAGAAAATCTACCGGTTCTGGAAGTAAGCTGGCATCACTACAGGACCCAATATTGATTTGATGGAGCACATACAGTTGCAAGAAAAAGTATGTGAACCCCTTGGGATTACATGGAGTTTTGCATGAATTGGGCATAAAATGTGCTCTGAATGTCATCTAAGTCACAACAATAGAAGAACACAGTCTGCTGAACATAATACTACACAAACATTAGATGTTGCCATGGTTTAATTGCACATAACATGTAAACATTCACAGTGCAGGGAGGAAAAAGTATGTGAACCTTTGGACTTAATAACTGGTTGACCCTCCTTTGGCAGCAATAACCTCAACCAAATGTTTCCTGTAGTTGCAGATCAGACCTGCACAACGATCTGGAGTCATTTTGGACCACTCCTCTTCACAAAACTGTTTCAGTGTAGCAATATTCTTGGGATGTCTGGTGTGAATCGCTCTCTTAAGGTCATGCCACAGCATTTCAATCGGGTTGAGGTCAGGACTCTGACTGGGCCACTCCAGAAGGCATATTCTGTGCTGTTGCAGCCATTGTTTTGTTGAATTACTTGTATGCTTTGGGTCATTGTCCTGTTGCATCACCCATCCTCTGCGGAGCTTCAGTTGGTGGACAGATGGTCGTACGTTTTCATGCAAAATGTCTTGATAAACTCTGGAATTCATTTTCCCATCAATGACAACAATCCGTCCAGGCCCTGAGGCAGCAAAGCAGCCCCAAACCATGATGCTCCCTCCGCCATGTTTCACAGTGGGGATGAGGTTTTGATATTGGTGTGCTGTGCCTTTTTTTCTCCACACATAGTGTTGTGTGTTCTTCCCAAACAACTCAATCTTGGTTTCATCTGTTTCATATATTTTGCCAGTAGTGCTGTGGAACATCCAGGTGCTCTTTTGCAAACTTCAAACGTGCTTCAATATTCTTTTTGGACAGCAATGGCTTCTTCCGTGGTGTCCTCCCATGTACTCCATTCTTGTTTAATGTTTTCCTTATTGTAGATGTGTCAACAAAAATGTTAGCATGTGCCAGAGATTTCTGTAGGTCTTTAGCTGACACTCTGGGATTCTTCTTTACCTCATGCAGCATTCTGCGCTGTGCTCTTGCAGTCATTTTTACAGGACGACCATGCCTAGGGAGAGTAGCAACAGTGCTAAACTTTCTCCATTTGTAGACAGTCTGTCTTACCGTGGACACATGAACATCAAGGCTTTTGGAGATACTTTTGTAACCCTTTGCAGCTTCATGCAAGTCAACAATTCTTGATGGTAGGTCTTCTGAGAGCTCTTTTCTGCGAGGCATGGTTCACATCAGACAGTGCTTCTTGAAACCAGTAAACCCAAAACAGGTGTGTGTTTTTTAAGGGCAGGACAGCTGTCAGCAACACATCCAATATCATCACACTGTTTGGAGTCAAGGTTGGCTCACTCCTGGCTCCAATTAGCTCTGGGAGAAGTCATTAAGCTAGGGCCTCACATACTTTTTCCTCCCTGCATTGTGAATGTTTACATATTATGTGCAATGAAACCATGGCAACATCTAATGTTTGTGTAGTATTATGTTCAGCAGACTGTGTTCTTCTATTGTTGTGACTTAGATGACGTTCAGAGCACATTTTATGCCCAATTCATGCAAAACTCCACGTAATCCCAAGGGGTTCACATACTTTTTCTTGCAACTGTATATAAAAGTTCACACATTTGTACATCTATACATAATGATTAAATCTACAGTACATCAGCTCGTGTTAGTCAAGGATCAGGCCCTCCTAACCCTCTTGTATTGAACTGTATTGTTGCTGTATTGTCTCCCGTTATATTGTACAGCGCTGAGCAAACTGTTGGCTCTATATAAATCCTGTATGATAATAATAATGTTAGTGTTTGCAATTACTTTTAAAATCCAAAATACCAATTAGTAATCTTTTCTCACTTGATACCTATTGTTTGGTATTTTTGATTGACTTGGTCAAGAATATGGGAGTTAATTTTGGCATCTTAGTTTCATTTTGATTACATTAATTCTATACTGATAATTCTTATAAACTATTTCTTTATGTGTCCCTTTCGTACTTATTATTTTGAGGGAGTGGTTGGCCATTTATTTTGTGCTATATACTGTATGAAGGTCTGATCTGATGTTTCCCTTTCCTTGTTAAAAATAAAATATATTAAAGCATTGATCCGTCTGTGGTATTATTTTTGAGTGAGTCCCTATTTCTGCAAGTTACAACGTCACTGAAAGTGGACTTTGTAGTAAAATGCAATGTTGCACTCACAATTGATAAAAATACACTGACATGTATTGTAGACAGTGGGGCCGCTGCTACCGCGTCACTTCCAGTCTCGGCTCTCTGATGCCCAGCTTCGCCTACAAGCGTATCGTCATTTCATGTGACTTCCTCATAAGTTGAGGGGCCCTGCTGTCTGCAATACATGCCTGTGTATTTTAATCAATTTTGATATAATAAATTCCATTTTAAAATATACTACAATATGGGAACCTCTTTTTTCGTGTGAGTATGCCGCAGAGACGGGGACCACACTTTGAAAGAG